AACTGAAACGACTTCCTATTTTGTCAAAGAGGACAGGTTGAGGAGATGGGGCGGCAAAGACTGGTCACCAATTCTTTGTATACTTCGAGCTGTTCTTTTGCAACTCATTCCCTGTTTCCTTCTCTCTCTCTTTCCCCAAAGTCCCTGCCACGCTTTACTACAGCTTTGTGCAGAACAGAAAAAGGCATCTCCCAAAACAGCACCTTTCCTGGTCTGGCAAATTAGGAAAGAACACTCATTCTGGATCTGAGCTCCCACGTGCCCTCTTGGCTGAGCCCCTTGTTGCAAAACACAAAATACACAACCAGCCACAGCAGCCAGTGTCGCCCAGTGCCCCCTCAAAGGCAGAGCCTGTGAGGAAGGCCAGGCCCTGCATGGAGAGCCAGTGGTCTGCTGGTGCACACAGAGCCCACTTGTATCACCCCAGGTCCCAAGCCGAGCTCACCTGCCCTCCCTCGGGAGAAGCCGGCACGCTTCTGGTTCCACCATATTTGGCTGGAAGACAAGCGATTCCATCTTCCCCCAACACAACCTTCCACAGGCCTCTGGAATCTTTCACTTAAATCACAGTGTAAGTATGAGGTCACATCTAAAACCACCAAGCAGTGACTCAAGTCCTCTGGAGGGATAACTTTTCTGAACAACTGCTGAGTGTACTTTTGCTTAAGTCCAGTGGCTTTGCCGATGGGATATATGAATCTCCTGACACAGCCTAACCACCCCAGCAAGCTCTCAGAATCCGATAGTAAATAAACCCCATTGTACTTGAAGGAAAAACCACTATCCTTGCTTTCCACCCTTCACCCTGAAATTGTAAATGATACTGTGGGGACAATGAACCCATCACTGAAGAGACCATCTGCAAAAGACAAAATTGCCTCTTCCAAGACTCCTCTGCCCTCTAAGATTGGAATTTGGGGAGGATGCATTCAGAAATGATTTTTCTTCCCAGTAATGACAACGCTCAGCACCACATAAGAAATGAAATTGAAGCACTGATCTTATTCTTCAAATACAGGATAGCTTCAGTATTAAAATTAACATATAAATTTAGCATCCATCTTATTTTCAACTCACTTCTGCTGAGTAAATGCACATATAAAGAATGAATCACTGAAACAGTATGCAGCGAAATCAAGTTCATTTTTCAAAGATGTCAGTTCAAATGCAGTCAGCGTCTGTTTTCTGGGCACCCAACAAATGTTCCTGAGACACATCCCCTCCCAATACCTCCCACCGATCCAGCCACAGGGCAACCTGGGGACCTTGGAACACGAGTCCCTGAAGAGCAAAGCCCACAACATGTGACCGCTACACTGCGTACCCCTTCCCCGGTCCTCTTCTTTTCATGCAGTTTAGATGTTCCTAGGCTCTCAGAAGCCAGTCAATTACCTGTAAGCGCCTAAACCAGAGGTCCAGAATCACCGCCCGTTTTCCCTGATACCTGTCGCCTTTCCAGGTTGCTCTACTGTTCATTTCAACCACAGCCAAGAGCCTGGCTAACAAAGGCCTTGCTTCTCAATACATCTGTGAGACTACTTTTGCTTTCCCCATCATCAAGTGTTGCTATTTCACAACGAGCTATCACCTCACACCTGTTAGAATGACTGTTACCAAAACGACAAGAGCTAACGAGCAAGTGCTGGCGAGACTGAAGAAAAGGAAGCCCTTGTGCACTGTTAGTGGGAATGAAAACTGGTGTAGCCGCCATGGACAACAGTATGGAGGGTCCTCAAAAAATTAAAAATACAACTACCATAGGATCCAGCAATTCTACTCCTGGGAACACACCCGAAGGAAAACACTAACTCAAAGAGACACCTGTACTCCACGCACACTGCAGCATCATTCACCAGATGTGGACACAGCCCGGGCCAGTCAATGGGCAAATCAATAAAGAACATGTTACTTATTGAGAGAAATAAGCCAGCCACAAAAAGACAAGTATTACATGATCTCACTTACACGTGGAATCTAAAGAAGCCAAACTGATAGAAACAGAGAGTAGCTTGGTGGATGCCAGGGGCTGAGGGGTGGAGTAAATGGGTAGATGTTGGTCAGAGTTGTAGAGACTTCCATTTATAAGATGAGTGAATTTGGGGATCTAACAGTGATTATACTTCACGGAACCATATTGTGTACTTGAAAGCGGCTAAGAGAGCAGGTTTTAAATGTTCTCACCACACACACACACAAAAGTGTGAAGTGACGGATGGAGTGACTAGCCTTACTATGGTAATCATCTTGCAATAATGTGCATATATCAAGTCATCACACTGTCCATCTTTAGCAATGCTGTACGTCAATTCCAGTTTGCTAAAGCTGGTGGGAGGGGAGGGTCTGTTGCTCTCTCTCAAAGCTCCAGGGCCAAGCCTGTTTCAAGGTGTCACTACTAAACCAGAAAAGCACAGAACAACTGAAAAACTGGCAGCACCGACAACCGGCGACACTTTAAGCAGCACTCCCCTGAGGGGGAAGGGTAATACACTTATGCTAATATCTGGTCCTTTACCAACCAGGAGTTTCCAGAAACTCCAGAAACAGACATAGCTGATCCCAAATGTATACTCAGTCTAAGCATTAACAGTGACACTAAAGCTCCCCGCACTAGCCCTAGGGCGTGAACGAAGGCTGCGTACACGGCCAAGTTTACCCTTGCCAGGGGCGCGTGGATGGGAGTGGGGGGTGGGGGGCGAGAACACCAGAGTGTGTATCCCTCAGCTCTCTCATGTGGCCTAGATCTAAGAAGGAAACCCAAGGATGTGCTGCAGAGCGAGCTGGTTCTCAAATCTTAGTGAGCTGAAGAATCACCTGGAGAGGATAATAAAAATGTAGGTGCTCAGGCTACCAGGGATTCTGAACTCAACAAGTGGGGCCCAGGAATCTCAACCACAAATTAAGCATCAGCGGGTGGCGGGTGCCTGGACCACACTTCAGACACACTGACGCAGAACATGACCAAGCCACCCACCCTCACATCAGAGATGAACAAAGCATTTACCCCCAGACCAGTAGTCGGCAGGTCCTCACTAGAAGGGGATGGAGGCACTGGTTTAATACAAACCGACTTTCTGTAAGCCAGGCTTGACTCAACTCCAAGTGTGCAGCCAAGGACCCAGGTTCTTCATCGGTGTGACAGACGAGATTTAGCAAGGAGTTGGTTGATTTTGTTTTTCTCTTCATCCAGGTGTTGTTTCACGTGAAAGAGTAACTGAGTGCCCACGGGCAGAGGAGTGTTTGTTTCCCTGGAATCCTACATGCCACTGCAGCAGGATGGTCTTTGAGAGCTGAGCTAAAGTCTAAGAGGTTTTGCCACTTTAACCAGAGGAGCCTCTGCTGTCGGGACTGCAGAGGAAGCAAAACTGAAAGCAGGATATAGGATCTTAACACCCCGTTACTCCCTCTGACCCCTGACTACACTGCCTGCACCGAAGTAAACACGTCTTGCTTCAGAAGATTATACTGAGGATCAAACGTCCCTGCAGTAGCCCATGGATAAGCTGTCTTACAGACAGTTCCATTTTGCTGGCCTTTGTGAAAAGAAGGCTAGGACTTTGATGATCTGTGGGCTAAATCAAGCTGTCAGGGTACCGTGTCTTTGGCCAAGTTTTATGCAATCCAGGTCACTCGACCTGAAGATGTAACAGCTGAAGACAGGTTGTGTAGCACCGTTGTCTCATATAGGATCCGTTATCATTGTTCCTTGTTAGATAATTGTAGATAAACTTTAGAGATGAAAATACACTGTGCGAGGTAGGCCCAGATGTTACCAATCACTACCACAAGGACTGTCCTGGACACGTGCCTTTAGAATCAGAGGCTACAGTGTTGTCCTCTCCGGCCCCTCACTTTCTTCCTTTATGTAACACTAATGTTGAAATATAACCCTAACAACAAACCCTAGTTACTTTTAAGCACTCTGGTATGTAACCATTTCAATTAAATATACATCAGTCCAACTAATATAAGGAATTTTTTTCCCCTTCAATGACTTCTCAGTCCGAAGGTGCCCAATAGAAATAAAAATGAGATTGTTTGTTTTAAATACCTCTTTTCATCCTGGGACCCAGGCGAGGGTGTTGGGCAGCTGACATCAGCGCCTGTCCCCCACCGAGGGAGCATCTCAGGCCAAGAGGATTTGCCCTTCTCCCTCCCAGACTGAAGAGCCCGTCAGCCCGTTACTCTTGCACTGAGAGCTCTCTGCATCCTTGTCTGTCGAGGCTTTTTATTTATTTTCTTATTTACTTTCCCTTCCACGTTCATAAGTTTAAGGTCTGACCTCAGCAGTCATCTTTCTTCTCAAGCACTCTGAAGAATGGCAACAGTAAGAAGTGGCTGGCATGGACACCACTGCATGTTATTGTTTTAAAACTTACTTTTTAAAATATCTGGGCAAAGAAGCTTGCCATATACAGCGCCCCCCAAAATGCTTTTAAAATGAAGGGGGAAAGGCCTGGTTTCCAGCGTTTTGCGGTGGTCATCTTCCAAACCAGGATGGCATCTCCTCCAAGTGAGAAAGAGGGAATTCACTTTCACATCCCGAATGCAAATAGGAGTATATGCTGAACTTAACAGGAGTAACTGCTCTCCTTGGCTGAGTGCTTTCTCTACGTCAGGCACAGTGCTAAGCACTTTGCTTACTGCCCACACTGTCCATTGTTTCATTTTCACTTTGTTTCTAATGGGATTCTCCATTACATACTCCCTGCTATTGTGGCCTCACGGGCAGGGAACTCGGACAATACAAATGCTTACATGCAACAAGTATCTGCTGGAGAACGAATGAATGCATGGAGGGACTGAAATAAGTCTACTCTTGAACAATAAATTCTCGTCTTTCTGAATGCAGCCCCAAAACTTTAGCATTCGTACTTCTTGAGGAGTGTCTCATTTAACTGAAACCTCGATCCATGCACTCTTAAGAAGCTTTTACATCAAGGTTCTATTTTTAGAGGTCCTCATTCCACAAGTAGAAATGACATAAACCGAGATGATCTCCTTAGTTTATTTTTTTTCTAGACTCCTTAGCATGCTACATGAACCTGACAAAGCTTAATCTTGTGTTCACTTCACAATACATTTCATGCAGTTCACAGCTGTGATTGGTTTCACATTGACATTACACGTTTGGATTCAGCCATGTGAGAAGAATAATTCTTAATGGAGTTTGTCTCTGAAAACTGTCCAAGCTTAAATAAGCACATGAGCAGTTCACTCTATTAAGTACAGTCTCTCTTTAAAATGCAACAAGGATTTTAGCATAGGAATATAAGGTCCCTGTTTATAGTCCATCGGCAACCGAACCACTTCTTTAGGGCTCACATATCCTGAGGAATCCTCTTTCACAAAATTGCATTCAAGTATACTATTTTATTGAACATTCCAGGCCGAGATTAGGAGCAAGGCTGACCTTCAGCTTTACATCCTCAAATAAATCTTCCATGGACCCAAGGCTTTCCCAAGACTATTCTTAGCATTAGACTCTCTTTTACAACGAACATTCAGCACTAAAGCCACAGAGCAGAGCTATTTGGCATTTTCCAGTGAAGTGCAAGAAATTAAATAAGTTATGCTTTTATTGCTAAGGTATAGAATCAAGCACAAGTGACTTTGTCAAACAGAAGGAAAAGGTATACACAGGACGTGGCCTCCCCTCAAGGGGAGCCCAGGGTTCAAACGCGCAGAAAACGTCACCTGGTCACCACCCACGGCGCGCCACTTCAGGAGGAAGTGTTGAGTATTCGAGAGTCTGAGGAGTCAGACCTCTCGTCATAGTCGTCCTCAGTGTAGATGGACTGCTTTGACACGATGGGACACCCGTCATCAGGGATGGAGATGCGGGGATCTTCGGGGGTGCGGGCGGGGAGGACGGGCGAGCTCCTGAAGACACTGGTAGAGTTAGTGGGGAAGGGGCTGACGTACTGGGACCTCAGCTGGTACTGCTGCTGCAGCGTCATGGTGTTCCACAGGGTGACGTCGTTGGGCAAAAAGGGGCTCGACTGGTTTCTCGCCAAAGTATTCCTCAGCATCAGAGGGTAGCGGGGCGGCTGGGGGAACGGATGCTGCAGGGGCACGGCCAAGGGGTTGGGGACCACATTACTCGAGTCGGCAGAAAACCTCAACGTGTCTGGGACTCTGAAGGCCGAGCCCACGGACCACTTGGACGAGGAGATGGGGTAGGAGCTCAGGGTGTGTTCAAAGATGTGCCCGTTGGAGGGCAGGACCAGGCCCTCGGGCTCGGCGGGAGTTCGGTCCGCGGCCGCGCCGGACGAGCGGCTGGACAGGAGGACCTCCACGGCGCTCACCAGGTCCCCGCCGCAGCCCTTCAGGATCAGCTCGAGCACCGTCGGCTTCTGGTTGGGGAAGATCTTTTTCAACACTTCCAGGGGCGGTCTGTTGGCTTTCAAGCTGAAGGGCAGCGAGACGGTGCCCGAGGGGCCCTCGATCAGGAGGTGATTCTGTTCCCCGGGGTACTTGGGGCTGTCCGGGCGGCTCTCGGAGCTGCCCCCATTTTTCTGGACCGCGTACCCGCCTTCGTCCACCGACACGACCTCTGGGCTCTCGGGTGTGAAGCAGCCCTTACTTTTGGCCAGGTCTGGGGAGCTCCGCTGGTCGATGTCTTTGTCACTGAAGGTCTCCGTGTTGTCGGCTGTGCTGCTGTCCCCAAGTCGTTCTTCAGTCAAATCTGAAAAGCAGAGAACAGCGGGGTTACTCCCTTCCCTTCCCGGTGTGCATAAAGGGGAACAGATGTGCTCCGGGGAGGGCCCTGTGCTGGCTTTTTGGAAGGGGAACTGCTCTTGGTGGGTTATAACATACTACCGGCCTCAAAAAAAAAACAAAAAACAAAAAAAAACCCAAAAAACTACGTCACTGGCAAACGGCAAAAAAAAAAAAAAAAAACCTGTAAATAAAAATCTAGAAATCAGAGGGATTCCTCAGAACGATGTGTGCAGGGAAGCCTTCCTTCAACACAGAACAGCAGCACGATACGTACAACCTGAGATGTGGCTGTCTAGCAGTAACCATCTAAACAGGGACCAGGGACCCTCTGTGGGGCTGGGGATAAACACAACCCAGGGAAGAACAGGAAAATGAGCTCAGGCTTGTCTTTTGGCTCTTCTTCTGCAAATGAGGTGGCCGATGTCATCCAAGGATATCATCAGCTGATGCACCACATGTGCCTACAGGAAATTTTTAACGTTTTAAGTCCATTTTCTCATTGGCGGATTCCATGTTACTTGTCTTGTGAACTAACCGTCAGTGTGCTTCATCAGGACACCGTGTACAATAGCTAGTGGATACAACTGCCAGAGTGAAGGGAGAAGCCTCTATACATGGAAAACTCTCTTAAAAGGCCACTCAAGGTCCTGGCAGACTTGGCTGCCTATAACCTGCACTACAGGGCAAGCAAAATCAGCTGTGAAACCTGGATGTGGGACAGGCTGCTGGAGAGGAAGACAGAAGCAGCTGGAGAAGACCTGCAAAACGGGCGGGGAGCAAGACCCTCCCTGTGAAACAGGGTGTCCATCACACCAGGACCTGGGCTGCAAGAGGCAGCTATGTTTTCAGGAACTGTTTCATTAGTGAAGTTTATGGACAGGACTTGAAGATACCTTCCTGCACTATATACATTAAAAGAAGAGAGAAACCAAAAAAGCTCCCCAAATAAAGCAGAGATTTACTATGAAGTAAACCAGTTGCGAATTTAACATTTTGATCTTATGCCCACAAAGGCTGGAATTACAGGGCTAGGCAGGCGGAAAGGAAGTAAGAGGTAAGTGAAGACTGGTTTGCTTGCAGAAGCAGATTCTAGCAGATCTTTATAATAAAGGAGCGTATTCTTTATAAACAAGCTATTGCGTATAGCTTGGGTTTTTATCCTTTTAAAAACATGTACCGGCTGTGTCTACTCAAAGCCAATGTTACTGATCTAAAGATGAAAATTATTAATGACCCGGTTGTCGGGCTGTAAACAACGGGTTTGCCTGTGTCTTCTGCTGCCCTGCCCTGAATAGCCTCATTGTCGCCTTCTCTGTGGGCACACCTGATTGTGTGTAGATAGGCAGCCGGTGAAATTTCATCAAAGCAGCTTCTAAAATCCATCTCCTTCTATTTGTTGTTGTTTTCATTTCAAAAGCCTTAAACAAAAGCCCATTTATAAACGTTCTCCTGATATAACTGTATTAACTACAACGAAAAACAAAACTTTGATTCTTCACAAAGCAATAAACATGTGCTAAGCATAAACACATACTTTAAAAATATTCTTACATTATATCAGTGAAACTTTCAATCATAAATCTGATACAAAATCATACTTATCCCAAATTTGCATTTTAAGTAAACTGCTTCTATTTCCAGTACAAAATAATCAGGTGACCACATGGGGATCATTTGCAGCCCACACACATTAAGCCATTTTTGCTTTCTGTAACAACTCTGGGATATGCACAAAAGACCTATTTTTGCGAGAGAAATATGACATACTCTCTTCCTGCAATTTCCTAGGACTGGGGACCCAGTTTTCATCTCCTGGGTTAATATGTTATTCGTCCTTGATCCCAATGAGAAAAGCAGCAACAAAAAAGCTTTCATGGCTTCATATTCTAATCAGCTAGACCTGTTTAAACCGTTCTGACTCATGACCCCATGCCTACCTCTTGGTGTTACTCTATTTTTAAACACTTGAAAATGAGAGGACAGTGGCAGTACGTTAACTCAGCACTGAACCCAAGGCACAACTGGATTTTGGCCCCTGCTCAGTGGAGCTTGGGAAAACAAGTCAAATAACCTCCCCGGGGAAATATGGACATAAACACTGTGCTCCTCTAAACGGTTTTCTTATTTCTTTAACTTTAGCTTTCATTATTTATTATTATCAGTATCAAGTATTTGTATCCTTGTAACTTGCAAGATACTGAGAGAAACAGAATAAAGGGTAGAAGACACCAGGAGGTGCAACACTAGCCCCTGACTGGTGGAATTTATTGCCAAATTGGGGAGATAAGACACATGTGAAGGGGGGAAAGCAAACATAGGCAGAATTTGCTAGCGGCAAATATGTACACATTGAACACATATGTTCAGAGCAGCATTAGCCACAAGAGCCAAAACAGTGGAAGCAACCAAGTGTCCATCAATGAGGGATGAATGGATAGACAAAATGTGGTCTATACATATAATGGAGTATTATTCAGCCTCAAAAAGCAGTGAAATTCTCACCCATGCTACAATGTGGTTGAACCCTGAATATATGCTAAGTGGAAAAAGTCAAACGCAAAAGGACAAATATTCTATGATTCCACTTATATAACATACCTAGAATAGGCAAATTCATAGAGACAGAAGTAAAATGGTGTCACCAGGGGCTGGGGGAGTGCAGAGTGGGGGCTTACTGTCTAATGGGTTCTGAGTTTCAGTTAGAAATGATGAAAAGGTTCTGAAAGTGGAAAGTGGCTGCACAACACTGGGAATGTATTTAATGCCACTACACTGGTTACAAAAGTTAAAACAGTAAATTTTGTTATGGATATTTTACCACAATAAAAAGGTAAAAGAAATATGATATAATATCACAGCAATAAAGGGGGTGGTGAGATTTTTTTTTAACAAGAAAAACAACTGGTTCTCCTGGGAAATAATGGGTTTGTAAATATAGCCCCAAAGCTCTAAACTTAGATACTTTTAAACAAAATGTGAACCTAAAAATAGCTTCCTATTTTAAAAGGTAACTTTCCACACCCCAAACCCTGGATGAGTTACAAACACGGAAGACATTTGGGAGAAATGTTTTGAGGTCTACCACCAAACTCATTTTTCCACAGAACAACACTTCCAGAGCAAAAATTTAACCAAAAGGGAACTAAGGAATGATGTTCTGGCTAATCTGATATATCTACCATTATGAAAATGTAGTATTTTTTTTCAAGATGGTAAAGGATCTACCGTCCCAATCAACTGGATATTGGACAGCAGGATTATAAACCTAACAATAAAAAATATCACTTTTGTTTCTTGATCTGCAGAACAGGCCACAGCGGAATCTTCTATGGGTGCCAGCTTGTTCACCAACTGTGAGCCCCTAGGCTGCATAAAGCTTTGTCTGAATTTTCTCGTACTACCCTTTGCACCTGCCACCGTGACACCCCCAGTGCAGCAAGCACTTCTGGTCACTTCTCAGAGAGTGATGGAGGATTGGGCTGATTCATCCACACTCTCTCTGCGGATTTCTGGGCTGATCAGCCTCTCCAAAGGGGTGTGTGGGCTGTGGCCAAAAAGTGAGAAAATCTAATAGGATGTCACAGAAGTCAAATCTACAAATTCAGAACATTCCAACCAACCGAGTTCAGCACTGTTTATACTGTATTCAAAAGGGGAGGCAGAAGGCGCTGAATGAAGCAGTGGTCTCTGTGCCCCTGAGCACCGTATGAAGTCCTGCTAAAGGCTGCTGGGTAAGCAGGATCCCAGTCCACATCCATGGTGTTGGGGTTTCAAACCGGGCAAAGGAAGACTACCCTCTCACCTTGTACCAAGAGTAACTCCTCACCCAGCAGTAATTTCTCAAGGGCTCTGCAAATTTACGGGGTCAAGTCTTGGTTGTATTGTTGTACCTAAACTGGAAGTACTGTAAATTATCTAACATAAATACAGACTTTCACACGTAATTATAGAGGGTGAGTTTTGAGCCCAGTGATAAAGTGTAATTTAATAACAGGTATTTCTTTACATCTGTAGATTTTTTCCTAAATGAACTTTATAAATTGTTCATGTTGGTTCGAAACATAAAGGCCTTCCTGGATATAGAAATGTGAAACTGCCAAGTAGCAAAATGAGAAGGAAATACTCAAGTGTTTTAATCTCTTTCTTCTTGAAACTGACACTCTAATTCCTAGCACATAAAGAGTGAGAATATATTTCAATTGATAATATTTTTAACCCCTAGTATATATGGATGCTGAAAGCCAAAACTACTAGACTAAAAGTAGAAAGAAATCCCTTTCATCTGATATTACAAACCAGTTACAAAAGTGATACAATCTGCTGTTTCTCCAGCTAAACATCTAGACATTTTAAAAGTCTTACTAGATGTTCACTTTCAATTCATATTTTTCATGATATACAATCACAGCCACCCCTTAAATAAACTCTTCACAAGGGTAAACACTTTTGTTTAAAGTAGATACTTAATTAAGAAGGAAAAGTTTTCTACGGGAAACAATGCTACCAACTTCAAAATATACATATGCCATAAGATAGCTGCAAGATTTCAAGGAGGGAAAATGAACACACGCACAACAGTGACTTCCAATATGAAATTACAGTTTACAAAATTTAACTTCCGTTGGTGGATTATTTTTTCATATGGAAATGCAGTTCAAAAAATTCTAAGTGTTCACTGCAAAGGTTTTGAGTAAGCCCATCATCTATGGGAAGCAGACATTCTGCTCAAGACACATACAAATGAAAACTCTTACTCACTTAGATATGGGGGATTTTATCCACTCTATCTAATTATATCTACAAAAACAAAATACAGCATACATCCAGTGAAACACAAACACAATGGCATAGAGAAGGTTGTTTTCTAGTGCAAATGTCACTGGACATTTTTTTTTTCTTTTGAAATCATGTCACGCATTTTGAAACATGGATTGTCACGTCGTCATCTGCTCACTTGAGCTTTGGGGAACACACCTCTAAATAACTGTTCCCTGATGGGTCATTTTTAAAGCACACAAATCTTACAGCAATGGCAGGGAAGACGCCTGGGCTGGACGGGGCTTCCAGAAAAGACCACTGCTCAGTCAGAATTCAA